AAGACCATTAATTAATCCTTTATTATTTATTTCTCTACATAAAACTGTTAATTAGTGATCTACAGGGACATCTATTGAAGCATCTATTAATAAAGATGTTTCAGTTGCAGTTATGAATATTAAAAAGTCATCACTGGGGGTTTAAATGTGCCGAATGAGTTTGCACAATCCAGCAACTGAAAGATTTTGTTTAATAGTCTTAAAATGTTAATAAACATCTACAAGGCCAAAGTAAAGAAATTAGCTCCAGTACTGACGAGCGCTCCCCGCGTCCTGCAGAGTCGTGCATTTTTAAAAACCAGAAGAACCAGTACCGTTCTCACAGCCCGTGCAACATCTGCGGCACGCACAGCCCCAGAGTTGCTCAACTCAAAACTCTGCAAAGTTATGAAACCGTAGACTGAGTCGGCGTGCGGGGGAGGGAAAAACCAGACCTCGAGCTGGAGGAGAAGGAGGAGGAGCACGGAGGCAGACGGAGCGCCGGGATGGGGAAACGCCGTCCCTCCCTCGCTCTCTTAGTTTTTCTGCTGCTGTTGAATAAACCAGAGGAGGCTTCCTGATGACTCAAAGCTCTGCAAACCCAGAACTCACGACCAGATCATGGATTCACAGCCTCGCTCCACCTGCAGACTCTGGTGCATGAAAACAGAGGAGTCCAGGCTTTTTCTCCTTCCTCAAAGCAAATGGAAACTATTTGCTCGTGAGCTTCTCGCCCTCGGGGCGTCGGCGTGTTTCGTCACGTAAAACCGAAGGCCTTTAAAGGGTCATTTCTGTGTATTTTTATACAGTTTTGTTTTTGTTTTTTTACCTAGAAAGCTGAACAGACGTCTGATCAACCAGATCAGGGCTCTGCAGCCTGCGGCTCTTTGGGCCCTCTGCAGCGGCTCTTTCAGATCTGGACCAAAACTGACTTTTAGCAGTTTTCCAGTCATTTGCAAATTTACAAATACAAAGAGCAAAAACACGTCTAATACTTTATGTTAGTAGTTCGTTAGACACTTCTTTAAACCAACTCCTGTGTGATCTTTCTCTCAAATACAGATTTTTTTTTTTATTGGGAGGGGGGGGTACCATGAAGAAATAGGGTGCGCATATTTGAAAACGATCAAAATAAAAAAGACAAAGTAAATTTGAGGTATTTATTTGTAAATTCGATCACATATCCAACAAACTGGCGTAATTATTTTTACTCACTTTAATCTTGGGCTTTGTTACTTCAAAGGATACTTCAGTCACTTTTAATAAAAACAGAACTCATATTCAGTGTGTGCATTCAGCGTTTTAGATTTATAAAACTGGTAAAAACTAATGTTTATTTTCTTCTTTATTTTGTCCTAAGATGTAAAAAACTCAATAAATGTTAACAATGATTAGCTTTTTAAAGTTTTATATTGTCACCCCACTAACAGGAGAAGCCTCCCACAACAAACTTGAAACGGCCCATGGGCCACCAGTTGATAATGACGGTTGTTTCAGGTTTTGTGGCTCAGGACGTGTTTTATGCAGATCCCTGAACCAAACTGGAAACAAGAAGAAGAAGAAGCTACAAACTGTATCTGTTCATGATCAAACTGTTAAAGCCTGGCATGAAACTTCCAACAAGACGCTTCATTCACGTTTACAGCTGAGGTTTTATCTGAAGCTCACACGTGAGTCGTCGTGACTCGGTGGGATCTTCCTGCATTTTCACAGCAAAAAAAACACTTTCACTCACAAAAGTTGTTACAAACTTTGAGGAACGTTTTATTTACTGATCGGACGTGACATAGAGAACCTCGCCCCAAATTAAATTTGGAATCACAAAAACTTCTTGGATGAGAAGAGAAATGTCATCAATGATCGTAAAGAAGTTCTGGGAACAAGAGGAGCACAGCATCTAAATATTGTTTCAGCTCTACTTTCAAAGCATTTTTTAATTAAAGCCAGACGTTCTCAGACAAACTGTGTCGCTGCTGAGATCAGGACTTAAACCAGTTAATTCGACAGTAGAAAACTTCTGGTACAGTTTACAGAAGTCCAAAGAAAATGTGTTTTACCAGCAAACAGAGAAGAACATTTTGATGTTTGGTGAGTGAAGAAAGCACAAACATGGTGGTTTATTGTTTTAGTAATTAATCAACTATTCAAACGATCACTGGTGTTTTAATCTGTAAAAACAACCAAACAGCAATAAATTAATCCACAGATTTTCTAATTATCATCTGATCGTAGACTAAACACAAATTCTCAACTCTATGTGTTGTTTGTATCAGTTGTTCATTTGTCATTTTATAAAACTGAAAACAGATTTATGATTTTTTAGGGTGTAATAATTAAGAATTGTGATTTATATTTATTTGTATTAATTTTAGGAAAATCTAGGGTGAGGTAAAACTTTTACAGATACAGATCTGATTTAGTGTGAACTAGATGTAAACTATATACAGATTTGGTTTAATGTGAACTAGATGTAAACTGTACAGATCTGATTTAATATGAACAAGATGTAAACCATTTCAGATCTGGTTTAATGTGAACTAGATATAAACTCTTTACAGATCTGATTTAATGTGAACTAGATGTAAATTCTTTACAGATCTGGTTAAATGTGAACAAGATGTAAACTCTGTACAGATCTGATTTAATGTGAACAAGATGTAAACTCTGTACAGATCTGATTTATTGTGAACAAGATGTAAACTCTGTACAGATCTGGTTTAATGTGAACTAGATATAAACTCTATACAGATCT